CTGCAACTCCTCCTTGCGACGCGCTCGTCCCGCGGTGACCGGCGGTGGTCCGTGTGGTGACGCGGCATGGCATTCCGTCGAGCCTATCTTGGGCGTGCGCACGCCATGGCCGTACGCCGGTGGTGCTCGTGAAGAATGGAGACGGGGTAGCCCCTAGCCAAAGGATGGAGCCCAATCGGCTCCACGGCAGGCGCAGGATGGGCAGTGCGATGATGGGGGAGGCCGCATGCGGTTGGGGCTGGGGAGGGACGCGGCATCCGTGCTCGGGCGTGGGGACGAAAATTTCCAGAAACACTATTTCATCTGCCTCGTCTGAAGCAGGCCACGTGGCCAAATGACATGCGAGGTAGTCTGGTACAAGTTTCGTCTTGTAGAAGATCCTCTCCTCCCTTTGCAGAAAACAGGCAAGGGTGCAAGGGTCAGTTCAGGGCCGTGTTTAGTTCGGCATATTCGGCGCCGCCAAAGCTACTGTAGCTAGCATTTTGTTTTTATTTGTTAATAATTGTCTAATCGTTGAGTAATTAGATTTAAAATGTTCGTCTCATAAAATACAACCAAACTGTGTAATTAGTTTTTTATTTCGTCAACATTTAGTACTTCACGCATGTACCTATAAATTTGATGTGATGAAAATCTTCTTTTACATAGTGGTAAAGTTGTGATTTTTGTGGAACTAAACATGGGCCAGATTCAGATGGACTTTACTTGCCACAGGCCGGGCCCGGGCGGGTGGGAGTGGGAGGGACCCCTTGGAGCTGTGTCTGTGGGGGCGGCGACAAGCTGACAGCACGGTGCGTGGCATGGGCATGGGCGGGCACTGCTGCGTGTTGCTACGCATGGCGTCGGCGCCGAGGCATCGCATCTAGCAACATGTCCATTGTCGCGTTCTTTCCTCGTGTCATACTGTACGTACGTGCCCCGAATAGAAGCGCGGCGGTTGCTACCGACCGCGGCGTAGCTTGCTGGGCGACGCACTGGCGCGGTTGAACGCCTGCCGGGCCGGTCGGCGTGACGCGAGCACATTGGCTTGGCCGCCCCCTGCACCCGGATCCTCCCGGTTCGCTCAATGCCAAGTAACATGCGCGAGATTTTTTTCTCCTAAACCCACTACCCATCCGTTGCAGCGTACTCCCTGCCCTGGGCATTCGGTACTACTGAACCGAACCGAATCCTCGGTTCCTCGGTTCTTCGGTTCCTAGAAAAGCCGGTACCGATCGGTTCTTTCAAAAAATCGGTACCGACGAAGTTCGGCTTCGGTGAGTTCGGTTCGGTTCCGGTTCCAAACCGAACTAACCGACCAACTCCGACTTTCAAAAAATCAGCGACTCGGGGGCGCGCGGACTCTGGGCGGGGATGTGACGCCGCGGGAGGTCCGCCGTTGCAGGGGCCGCCAGGACTCCGGGTCTCCGGGAGGCGGGAGTTCGGTTCCTCGGTTAGTTCGGTTAACCGAGGGGAGGAACCGAATTAACCGAACAAATTTTGGTTCTTAGGAAATGGGAACCGAACAGAAACCGATATTTCGGTTCTCGATAAATTCGGTTCGGTTCTCGGTTCTCGGTAAAATTTGCCCAGGGCTACTCCCTCCGTAAAAAAAAACGTAATTCATTTTTTTTGGACGGAGGGAGTACATCAAATGCCAGCCATATCGTGGCCGTATCCTATGCTCAGCTTCAGCTCTGTCGTCGATTCTAGTATGCAGAATCTAGTGGGTAGGGGTAGCAGCATATACTAAGTACAGGCCGGAGTGCCGCCGTCCGTCGAGGCTGGTGAGGCTGCCCCGTTAGCTCGCCGATAAGTCATGGCTGAAAATATTATTGGTTAATTTGTTGTGAGAGAAAAATATTATTTCTTAACTGAAAAAGTACGACTTATAAGCGATTCAGTCACGGCTTATGCATAGATCGGCACTCGGCAGGCAGTGCAGGCGGAGGCGGCGAGCATTGGTCCCCGTGATGGAGCATGTCATCGGCCCATCGTGTGCCAGCCTTCCGCGAGTAGGCTCCCCCCTTCCCACAGGCCACCAGTCCCACAGCCCCACTCCCACGGAAGAGTTCCATGTGCGCCTTGCTTCGGCCTGCCTGATTCCATCCCAGGGGCGAGCAAGAGGAAGCTCCTCCCCAGTCCCCGCATCACACAGTTCACGGCCTTCACACACAGGTCACAGGGGCCTTCTCTTTGTTTTCGCTGTTGTTTGCCGCTCTCTATTGTAATCTTGTGTGGGAACGCTGTTTCCTGTTTCTCTCAAAAGCGGAGCAGCCGAGAAGACAATAAGCTTTTCTTTACCGATCGGTCATTGGCCTAGAGTGACGATCGTACAAGTATTCAACGGTCAGCTGCTAGGAATATATCCCTCTTTCTTGTGTCGCATGACGAACTTCCTCGCTCAAGTCAAAGAGCTCCTAAAAATTGTCTGTGTAGGGAGAAAAGATGTACTTACGTGAGACACGGGAAAAAAACTTCAGATCAAATGCAGCCTACGACAGATAATTGTTAACATGTAAAACACAAACATCCATATAGTAGACTAACCAACACGTTAACATTATTTCTACTTACATAGGCCCTGTTTGATCTAAGAAGATAATAGTTAGCTGCTAATAATTAACTTATTTGGATCCAAACAAAATAAAACTCATTGGATCCAAACACAACTAATAGTTTAGCTAATTGTTCCAGTATGTTGCAATTAAGGGAAAGTAAAACGATAAATGGTATTTTTTGAACGAACATATATGACAAGATTAAGCAATTGGGCTTTATGCATTAGATTTTGCTTATAGATGAGCCTATCTTTCTTCACAACAAACAAGCTTGTAGAGCAGAGATATCTTAGTTCCAATACCACAAATTTGTTTTTAGGTGTATATTGTTTTGCACATTCAATAGTCGGTGTTTCAATTACTTGAACTTTGAGAGCCACAACGAAGTTATATGATTACTTCTGGTCCAACAGAAGAAGTATTATAGCAAGGCTTGTGTTGCTCAGAACAAAATAGTTTCCTACACTAAACTTGTATTATTAAGTATATATTCATATAAATGAAATGGGTATGTTTTGGGTGCTTGTTTTTTCAGCGACAACAAATGCACTTGTCATTGCGTCACTGTTGTTCACTATAGCTGTCTCAAGGGTGCAATGACTAAGCTGCAAATACCCACAGCCTAACATGCCTAATAATTATGTGAAAGTATATGGGATGAAATAAGATATTACAATATAAAAGCATGAGCATCCTCTCACCCATAAACGGTGACATTATCTGTAGATGGGTAGGTTGTTAGTTTTAGGTAGGGTTGGACAATAAGATAAGGTGTCGCTTCTTGTGGGAGAATATTTTTGTTGTTGTGGCAATGGGTATTGAAATGTTAGAGAGGTTAGGCAATGAAAAAACTAAAAGCTTAGCTAGCTAGGGATGAAATAAAGGACCAATCTCTACTGCGGTTCTTTCGGTGGTTAAATACTCAAACCTGAATAACCAAATATAATAAAATAATCTAGATTACTATGCTAATATAGTATTTTCCAATTAAGTTAGTGTATCTTGTATCCACAATGCTAAAATTAGCTAGTGGGCATTTAGACTGTCTGAACTAATAAACTTTGTATAGAACACTAAGGACACATATAGTTTACGAGGCAATAATGTATTTCATGGATCACTGAAGTAACTAATTTGTCTGACATTGAAAACTAATTTTTTACATAGTTGTTAATAGTTTTTTAAGCAAACTAAACTAATTGCATACCTTCACATAATAGAGGAAAAATCACACAAACTAGCAACTTTGTAGCTTGTTATTAAAATCCTCACATCTCCTATACTACCACTTTAATTTCATGTGTCGCTTTCCACATGTCCCTGCCAAGTTGGAGGGTGTTGAGGTTGGCTTGTGCCCTTTTTTCCTTAGAAAAGGGTATGTGGGAGGCATACTGGGTGACCGAGGAGGTGAGCGCGGGGCAGAGGAGGACAATGATTGGGCTAGGAATGACCGGAGAGTCATGGAGATGGCCTAATGATGCCGGGTTAACACGAGAGAGGGGGAGGGTAGTGGTTAGTGGAGGCAGACTCAGCGGCAGGGATGAGAGACGACCGGTGGTAGGGGGTTGCAAGATCGAGAGTTTGTGCGCTACGACGAAGAAGAGGCGGAGGTTGAAAAAGAACAACACAATCTAAGCTGAAAACAATTGAATTTAACATCCGATGACTCCTATTCATCACATGAAAATAATGAAAAAAGATGCGTCTAAAAAATAAATATTCTCGTAACATGCTGACTAGACACGATGGTGACCGCTAAAAAAGAAAGATGTAACATTATATGTAAAGAAAATAATCCTATAATAGATTCCTACGTCAATGAGGTGACACTACTGCAAAAAAGAATGTACATGTGCAAATGCATATATGGTAGTACTTATCACAAATGAAAAAAAAGGCTAGAGCGATGATGATGACTGCATGAAAGGAGGAATTTTTTTTGTCATAACAATACTTTCATGGTATAAATATGTTTGGATGAAAAATATTTGAGATTGATTGAATTAGGCGTTATTACCGAACTCAATGATCTGACAATTTGTGTACATATACGGTTCAATTTTACGTATCCCTACAGGTACATACGGCCAACTCTCAAGTCTCTACGCATCCCCTAAAACCCTATGCCAAACCGGGGAATGGGAAAAAAAAAAGGTTTTCACCAACCGGCGGCGGCTGCCAAAAACCTACTCCGCCATACCGCCGCTATAAACAACCCTACGAAGAGGGTAAAAAGGAGGCCAGCCAGCCGAAGAAACACCCAGAGGAAGCGCCCGTTTTTGACATCTCGTATGTGCGATTTCGCTGGAATCCTCCTCGACTGATTTTACCGCACAACAGAAAAGGAGATAAAACACGACAAAAATCTAAGGAAAACTCAATCACATCTTCTCTTCGTCCGCCGCCGTCGCCTCTCTTCATTGGTAGCAGCTTAATCCGACCCCAGTCCAGCCCGCCGCCATGGAGGCGCTGATGGCCACGGACAAATGCTTCTCCCCGGCCAGGGCGATGTCCCCGATGCCGATTATGAGGCCCCCTCCATCACCAGAACATGCCAGGTAAGATGGCACCCCGATTGGATTCTTGAAATATAGTCGCTTTCTTGCTGTAAACTGTTCCCCTGTTTTTGGTGTTCTCGTATCGTGGTCTGAATCGTTTCCTTTTTTCTGTGTTGATTCGATTGGACTGGATTGGATTGCGGCGGCGCAGTCAGTATCTGGAGGACTTGTTGCAGGAGCAACAGAAGCTCGGGCCCTTCGTGCAGGTGCTCCCAATCTGCGGCAGGCTGTTGAATCAAGGTGAGATAATTTTCAGCTTTATTTGTAGCAGTCTTGCTCAGATTCGGTAGTTCCATGCTCTGTTCCTGTACGAGCTCTGTCTTTATGATAAAAGAGCAGCCTTTTCATTCATTTGTTCATAAAAGGCACATTGGTTTAACGTGGAACGACTTGTACGGAGAACCCCCACAGTCCCTGTGTCTTGGTATACAACATATAATTGTTTTGGTGCTGAAATGGTAGAGCTTTATCAATAATAGGTATTTAGTCTTATGTCGATGTTACGCTGATCGCAAACCATAATGTGCAGAGATGATGAGAATATCAAACCTGCTTTCTAACTCTGGAGTTAGAGGAAATGAGAGGTTGCCACCAATTGCAAGTCCAAACCACATGCATCCATTGCCCCGGGTACCTAATTTCTGTGGAAATGGTTTCGGTCCGTGGAATGGGATGCATCCTGAGGTATCTGTACTAGCTACTAAAATTCTTTTGCCATTTCAGTTCATTCATTTACTTGATACCTCTGAACTGTGTGCTACAGAATTCATTATGGAAAATTGATACTACATAATGTGTAGGTTGCCTGATATTGAAGTAGAATTGCAAATATAGTTTTGACACTTTGCTGCACTTTTTTTCCCCATAACGGCAAAGCCGGCTTTGTTGTACTTTTATTAGGATATACTACATACCCTTATGATGTTGTCTTTAATGTGTTTGTCAAACCGCTCTTTGGATAGTATAGCTGTTCATGGGTGGTTTGTGGATGTCGAGATGTGGCAATGGAACAAACAAGCTACCTTCTCAGCTACCTTTAGAGCATGCTAACAAATATATGCATGCGTCCCAAAATAATCAGAACTGATATTAATGAGATGGAGTACATACATTTTTAGAGAGGTAGAACCTTGCCTGTTAGAAAACTACATCAAATATTCTTAGCTTAAGTTTGACTATCCCTTTATAGTGAAAGCCTGAAAGAAAGCTTCAGTTGATTGGAACGTTCCAAGCATATCACATACTTGGTTATTTCATTCTATATATTTAAGTTTTGAATTGAACAGATAGGTTCATTTGTTTTGCTCAATGCATTGGAATCAGTTTAGTAGACATTGTGAAGGTAAGTCAGAAGCAAGTTTTCTTCCCTTTGACTGTTACAACCTACAATATCTTTTCCGTATCCAATAGATTAGATCTTAACACCACCCAATAGTCTCCACCTGCTTTGTTATTGATCTAGTTTCATTCATAATAATATTTTGCACTTGGCCCATAAGAGTAGTTGTGAAACTGGCCTCACACCAAAGGATTCAATGTTTACTCTTTTCTTTTCCATTCTGAAGGCTAAAACTTACAGTGCTTGAAAAGTCAATCTGGTTTCATGTTGAATGATTGTTCTCCCCTGAAGCTTCATTGAAGAGTATATTAGAAGCTACTTTTGTATGTTGGAATGCTTAAAATATGGTACCATTTTTTTTTCCACTCGAAGGCCTTGGTTGTACCAAAAAAGTTGGAGATATGCAGGATACTTTTGAATTACTTCTTTTCATGTTGAGAAGAGAATAGTAATTTCAGCTACTCTTTGTTTTGCAATTTTTTGCTTGCATACTGCTTAATTGTTTTACTGTTTATCCATTTTATCTCCAATGAAGCAAGCTTAACTTACAATTCTATTTTGATACCATGACTTTCCAGAGAAATGGTTTTCCTAGGGGAGCCATGGGCTGGCAAGGTGCTGTACAGAACCATTCCTCCTACATTGTCAAGAAGATCGTGCGATTGGAAGTTCCAACAGATGCTTACCCCAATGTATGTTCTTTCGTGCTTCTGACGAAGTGATGATTAGTTGTTACTACTATCAATTTGTATTTTTAATTTATTAATTATACCTGATATATATGCAGTTTAACTTCATTGGCCGTCTGCTTGGGCCGAGGGGACACTCACTAAAGAGAGTTGAAGCTACTACAGGTTGCCGTGTTTTCATCAGAGGGAAGGGCTCCATAAAAGATCCTGTGAAAGTAAATAAATTCTTACTCATTTTCATAAGCTGATTCTTCAATAACGCTGTTTGTGGCATTTTACATTGAATCATCAGTGGTCATTATAGGCTAAAAGTTTCTGGTAACCAAGTGATATTAATCTTAAGATCTGATACTCCACTTCCTGGGGCAAGCAAACAATGCTGACATGCCATTCTGTCTGTTTCCTGTAGGAGGAACAGCTCAAGGGAAGGCCTGGCTATGAACACTTGGGCGATCCAACGCATATCTTAATTGAGGCTGAATTACCTGCTGATGTTATTGATGCTAGACTGACACAAGCACAGGAGATACTAGAGGAGTTGCTGAAACCAGTGGTATGCATATGATCCCCTAACCCTCTACCTTTATCTATTCCTCAATCTGTAATTCATTAGCGAAGCATGTCATTTTAGGAAAGGTCAAGGAAATGGGCCACTATTAAGTTCTGTAACGTTTTTTTTTTGCAATTTCATAAAGTATGGATCAACATGCCCTGTTGAAGGGAAGATTTTGCACAAATGGAATGATGAAAGGGGTAAAGTAAGAAAGACACAAACCTCTAGATCCATCGATGGCCGTGGTTTTGTGATGATGCTCTGCCGACGGATGGTGTTCTAGTTAGGGTTAGGTTTTGTGACTGGGATTAGTAGTTTGAGGTTTTAGGTTGAGAGAAGGGGATTTCATGGCTATCGGGGCTAAAGTGAAGGTTATGGTGGTTGTTGTCCCGATGGTATGGTTGTGGGATGGTGACGCAGCGGTGGCGCCGCCCACCATGGTTTGGAGGATGGCGATTGGGTGCGGCCAACGTCAATGACATCATCATTTGGCTGAGTTAGCAAGGATTTTGTCGAGTGGGCGGCGGCGGCGGATAGTGGAGATGGGTGGGGTAGGTGGGAACGTGGGGTGTGGGGGAGGGGTTCAAATCTAGGATGGGGTTTGGTTATCAACGGTGGTGCCGCCCACCGCGGTTTGTGGAGGATGGCGATTGGTGGGGCCGGGCCAATTTCGGGGGCATCATGATTTGGCTAGGTTAGCATTTAGCAAGGATGTTGTCGAGTGGGCGGCGGCGGCAGATAGTTGAGATGGGGGTGGGATAGGTGGAGACTTGGGGTGTGGGGATGGGAGAGGGGCTCAAATCTAGGGTTGGGGGTATGGGAGGATCAGGAGGTGTAGGGTGGAGGAGGGGTGGTGGTCCTTGCCAGCATCGAAGGCGACCTGGTGGGGCAGAGGTTGGTGGTGGGGCCAGCCGGCCGGGTCCTGGTGGGTAGGTGGAAGTTGAGGGAGAAAGGGAGTCCGAGAAAGAGGGTGTGGAGTCGGGTCTCATATTAACGGCGTCCGGAGAGCATCTGTGCCAACTTGTATTTATTTTCCATAGTTTCTTGCCATAATTAAACAAATAGACGACTAACATGCAGATGCACAATTTGCTTTATTCATCGTCTCCTGTGTGTAAAAAAAATCTCAATCCATTGATGGGTTTTCATGCAGGATGAGTCACAAGACAACATCAAGAGACAACAACTTCGAGAACTTGCCATGTTGAACTCGGTATATCGAGAGGATAGTCCGCATCAGAACGGCAGTGCCTCTCCGTTCAGCAATGGTGGCACAAAACAGTGACAGGGAGGAGATTCATCTCTGATCCTTCACAGAAACTCTCTCGTCAGCCCTGCTCTCATGACAGACATAGCTTCTCTGATGCTCAAGCTCCCGTGATGGTATTGGAATTCATGCCATTGCTCGCTGGTGAATTTTGATACCCCTTGTGACATTGACCTGCGGATGAGATGACAAGTAGCGAGATAAAAAAAACTCCCCCCATGGCTGTGTACTTAGAATATTTCGTTTATTGCTTCCTTGTCGCCGACTATTAGTGCTGATAGTGCAGAGATGTCTAAGTTCCAGTATTTTGAGCTCTTTGATTGACTATAAAGTTATGACTCCGCAGCATATTTGATTATGATAGTATTTGTCGACATAAATTTTATATCTCGAGACGCATTTTGTGTGGTCTGTTCAGTTTTTCTGTTTGTTATATAGTTTTTGAACGTAATTTTTTTTGAACGTAACTGTTTGTTATATAGTTGAATCGACATATATACACTTTGAGTAGAGCCTAGCTTTTGATCACAAAAATAGGCTCATTGGATATCAAAGGTTATTTGTTAGCTAGCTAAAAATTACTCTTATATAGTTCATTTAAATGGGAGGGCTAGTAGGTGGGCTAATTTTTAGTCAAGTTTTAAGCCTTAAACTGGTATTTAATCATCTAGTTAGCCAATTCTAACTAATTTGGACTAATTTTTAGTCCCAACCAGTAACTAGCACCAGCACATCCAAAATTATCCATAATTCCAAATAGGCTCACATTTGACTATCTAAAACTTCTAAAATAATACAGACTGACATGCACATGCATGATGCAAAATACCCCCCAAAAAATAATAAGAAGAAAAGAACCAATAGATTTTTGTAGTTATTGTAATAAAGTATTAAGAGTGTTAATATCCCAATAATATACTGGGATCTATATTTGGAAGTGGAGCAACGTTAGAGTATCTCAAGTGCTCCTGAAAATATATTTTCGAATGATTGACTACGGAATACATAGCGCCCGGACGTCCGGCCCCATGGCGACGTCCGGACGTAGGTCCCAGGTAGTGCTCCCCCACCACGTCCTGTTCCCCCACCGCAGCCCGTTCCACACCCACGCCCCTGACTCTGTTCCCCACCGCGCCCTTATCCTCGTTCCCCACTGCGCCCCTGTCCCCGTTCCCCAACCATGCCTGGTTCCCCCACGACTCCCCGTTCCCCCACCGCATCCCGTTCCCCACCGCGCCCCTATCCTCGTTCCCCAATGCACCCCGTTCCCCCACCGCGCCCCCTGTCCCATCGCAAACATATGAAAAAACTATATAGTGCAACATCGGAATATAAATATTGCAATATCGCAAAAATATGTAGTGCAACATAAAAAAACATATACTACAACATCAGAAAATATGTACTGCAACATCAAAAATTGTGCTACAACATCGAAAAACATGTACTGCAACATCGAAAAAATATGTACTGCAACATCGAAAAAACATGTACCGTAACATAAAAAATATGTTCTGCAACATCAAAATTATGTGCTGCACCATCGAAAATTATGTACTGCATCATCTCAAATAGTAGTACTGCAACATAACAAAAATCAACCATGAAACATGGAAATGAAAATATTCAAAAATCATCATTTGCAACAACCCAAAATTCCCATTGCAACATTCTAAAATCATCTGTTGTAATATCCAAAAACTTATTGCAACACGAAGAAATAGCAAAAAAGGACGTGCAAAAACACCAAGGGGGTGGGCTCTGCTCTAGCCCTGGCCCATCACCTTTCTACTCGCCGGAGGGAGAAGGGAATAGGACCCCAGAGCCCGTCAGAACCCTAACCATCGCCGCGCCCCTCAGATCCAGAGGAGGAGGATGAAGATGAAGAGGACGAGGGCTCAGATCCAGAGGAGGAGGAGGAGGAGGCATAGATCTAGAGAAGGACCGACCTACCTCGTCGGAGCCGCCGCCGCCATCCTCGTCTCCGGTGGGGGGAGTGGGAGCCGGGTCACAATAGAGGTCGCTGAGGGGGGAGGGAGGGAGTGCGGGCAGGCGGGGTGGCAACGAGCTAGACGCGAGCGCGGCGTCTGTCCCAGAGAGCGCGCATGGGCGGGCGCAGCAACGAGCGGTGGGGGCACGTGGTGGCGGATGGAAATAGCGAGGCGTCAGAGGAATCGATGCAGCCTTCTTTTCTTCGATGGCATCTACGTCGGTCTAATTGAGCCGCAGGCCCGGGTGCGCGGCGACTGGACGGGATGGACACCCTCGCAACATCATTATCGCATTGATTATTCTATCTAAGCGGCTGAAATGAGTAACTGAGTGAGTATAGAGGTTTTTTTTTGTCTTTCTCCAGCCGTTGCCAATAATTGGTAGGAAAAGAAAAATCAAAACCACACGCCGTGGTGAAAACCACGGAGAAACCAGCAATAGGGTGCGTGGAATGACACGCATATACGAGGAGTCGTATGTCAGATTTGCCAAACGTGGATGTTTATGGAGTTCAGATAAGAAAATTTTGAAACTTTTTTCTCAAACAATTTAGGAAAGCTACATTTCATTTTATTAAAGAGAAAAGTGTACAAGAAAGAATCTCCTCCCTACAACGCAAAAAAGAAAAAGAAAACAAAAAGGGAGGGGTTACAATAACGCCATACTCCATCTGTCCCTAAATGTCTATCGTTTTCGTTTCCCGATAAATAAGTTTAACTAAATATATATTAAAAAATATTAATATTTATAATACATAACTAGTATCATTGGATAGAGATTTGAATCTAGTTTTTTAATAAATTTATTTGGAAGTAGAAATGTTGTACACATTTTCTATAAATCAAGTCAAAGTTATCGACACGCAAATCGTGGCGACAAACATTTAGGGACATAGCAAACAACACGACACTGTAGTGGATTGAGTAGCCTGCTTGGCTGCTTGGCAAGACGATCTGAGGCCCAACACCGGTTGCTGACTGCTAGCCAAATAAAGAATTTGCAACTCAAAGAGCCGGTTGTTGACCGCGTTTCCAAGGAGCAAATCTTATGGTGCCAACGAAGTAGGCATTGTAAGTTGACTTGCTGGTGTAGGAGCCTGAATTGGAGACCTCCGGCTGCAAATTGAGCTCCCAAATGCGGAGGTATTCAACAATGTTCCCTTGGACAGTAAGCGCCCCTCTTAATACCATCAATCCAAGTTTTGTTGCGGAGGGCCCGAGCCACCGTCAGCCGCTTGGCCGTACGCTTCAGTATGGCTCTGAACAAGAAAAGGAGCCAGTTCTGCAATAAGAAACTCATGCAATCAGCGATCTATCCAAAATTTTGTTGAATGCCCATTACTCAAAATTTTGTTGACCGTATGCAGTTTATCTAAGCGCAAGTTGGTTCAGTGTGGTAGCACCGTAGCAGTAACAACTAGTCCAACGAGAAGTTGAGATCACTTGGAACGGAGGACTAGTGCTTTTGCGCCTTTTTCTGTATTTGCGCCCATTTTCAGAGGAAAGCGTAACGTTTGTGCTGCCGCGATAATTGCTGTCTGCGTTGGGGCCCCGCCGCCAGGGGCCGGCCTGTCGACGTCGCCGTCCGCGCGGGTCTCCTCCCGCTGCCTGCCGCACTGAGCCATTGACCGCCTCTGGGGCCCTCGCATAGGCGGCCCCACCTGTCTGTTGTGCCGCCGAACGCCCGTCGCCTGCTGGGGCCCGGCCAGCCCACCCACCCCACCGCACGTCACGGCGTAACGCGCGGCGCGGCCCGTCTCCGTCCCCTCCGTGTCCTGTCCGCATGCGCCCGCGCCGCACGCCGCCCGTAATTTCTTTCCGCCGCGAGTCGCGGCGCCCGCTCGTGGCCGGTGCGCGCGTCCGCAACCGCCGCCACCGCCTTCCCACTTCCAAATACTCCTGCCGGCTGCTGCCACTTTCTTTCCCCATTCCTGTCTGGCCATCCCTCCCGGCCCTCTGCTCTCTCCTGCCATTCCACCTGCTGCCCGCTGCTGTGCGTCGCTCGCTCACCACCACACCACCAGTCGTCACCCCGTGCGGAGCTGCCATCCCGCGGAGGGAGGAGCACGCGTGTCCGAGCCTTCCGTTCCGCGTCGCATGGACTCGTGCTGTCGCCAGCCGCCTAACCGGGTGCCTGCCTAACCGGCCGATTTCCTTCCTTGCGTAGCTCCATTCCACTGCACAAATAGCGCGCCACTTTCCCAATTCCCGTCGCGTGGCCCCCTTCCGATCCTGGCCACTCTGTTCGTCCTGTGGCGTCCAGCAGGGCGGGGGTGATCGGTGATGGAGTGGGGGGACAGGGCCAAGGCCTCCGCCGCCGCTGTGGCGGCCGACGAGAGAGCCGGCGGAGGTGAAGAAGTGCTCGGGGGATACGTCAAGGTCATGACCGACGAACAGATGGAGGTGCTCCGCAAGCAGATCTCCATCTACGCCACCATCTGCGAGCAGCTCGTCGATATGCACCGCACCCTCACCGAGCACCAGGACACCATTGCAGGTCGGTCAGCGCGGTTGCGGGCAAAACCAATTGCTACTCTCTAGCCTCTCTGCTTGTCTTTGTCTGTTCTGGCCTTCTGGGGTTTGCAAACGGAAAATTGGGGTGATTCCTTTGCTTTGCCTTGGGACTTGCATTGTGGCTTGTCAGTTCCATCTTTGCCTCGTTGTCCACAAATAAAAGTAGTGTCCTCTTTTTCCGATGGCTTCTCTAAAGTCCGCATCCTTTGTTTATTTATGAATAGAACTAATTCTAGTGTTACAGGAAGCTGCGTTTGCTAATCACACGAAATTATTAGCGGTCAAACTCTCTTTTCATTTTTACTAGCCATCCAAGATTTACTATTATAGTTTCTCACTTCATGAGCAGGTTCCATTCATCGCTGTTTGCCTTCTGTTCAATTTATGCCCAGTACTTTAGTCTGCCTTCTCCAATTGGTGAAGTGTCAAGGAGTATCTTTTCACTCTGTTCATGTTGCTAGATGCATAGTTGCGGCTGTCTAGTCTGCTTTACTCTGCTTGCCATCTTTGTGCTGCGGCTTTTGTCTAGTCTGTTTTACTCTGCTGCTGTCTTACAATGGTAATAATGGGTAATGGGGTAGAGAATGTAATTCATAATATGTTATTTTTCTGTCATTAATTAACTATAGTGATTTCTGTTGGATTTGTTATTTGCACGAGATGCTACTCGTTACATATCTTGGTAATGGAATTGTAGTGACCATCCTTTTGATTGGTCTAGTGAACCAATTTCGCCGTGTGTGTTGGGCTGCATTGTTTCTTTGCGGCGCAGTTAAGGCACACTTTGCAAGCAGAGTTCCATTTAGTGGACCTAATTGTCTGGTTGAACAGAACTAGCATTCATTTATTTTGTACTTTGTAGATACTTGACAATAGGTTGTAAGTGCCAACACATCAAAATGGGAATAGGTTCAGTCAGTACCAAAGAGTGGGAATCCTTGTTCTTATTTGTTTCTCTTTTTTGAGTTAGTGACCAAGAAGGGCAGGCCTGTTGCAGTGGTGAGAGCTGTCTCACTGAGTCACCAGGTCGTGGGAGCCTCTGGCACTGGGTCTGGCCTTTTTTTTTTTGAGTTAGTGACCTAATGTACATGCATTTGATTAATTTCTCAAGGTCTTCATGGTTGCAGCATGATTGTTATTTGTGCTAAGATTCAATTTTTCTCTATATGATAATTTTTCTATGCCCAAGCAATTAGTTCTCCTTTAATTGGAAGATTAGCATGGCCCTATGCAAGGATGTCACACACAAATCGAGAAATGGTCCTCTAATTAAAGAGATAATAATGAATAGCTATTAGACATGACTGTCATGTAGGGCCAATCAATTGCTATTTTGTGCCACGTGCACCCTGCCACCCTGATTATTCCATATTCTTCTGCTGTCCTGCAGAGTCTAAGCTTCACTTTCAGGGAGCTTTAAGCTTTGCATGTGTCTTTCATTGGGCCAACACACTTGCCTTTTTACTACGTGGTTGGCATTTTTTGATTACTTAGTGGCTGTTTAGATGCATTTGGAATGGCAAAACTTTTTCCTCATTTTTGCTGCAAAACTTTAGGCATTCAAATTTTAGCCGGAGGTGTTTAGATCCATGGCAAAACTTTTGCTCTGTATCAAAGAAGACTGATTTGCCCTCACAGGGTGGCCATCCTTGGTCCTCTTGAAGCACCGGGTTGCAGATCTGGAGGCGAGTCGCAACGGGGCCGAGCGTGGCCAGGGGCCAGCGCGGCCGGTGGCGGAGGGCTGAGCGCAGCCGGGCTGCCGCTCGACGGTGGGGCAGAAGCGTGCAGGCGAGTCGCGACGGGGCCGAGCGTGGCCGGTGGCGGAGGGGCCGAGCGCGGCCGGGGTGCCGCTCGCCGGTGGCGGAGGAGCCGAGCACGGCCGGGGTGCCGCTCGCCGGTGGAGGGAAAGAGGAGGGACGCGACCCAGCCCACGCGAGCACGGAGGGGAAGAGAAGGGGCGCGGCCGGTGGCGGCGCCACCGAGCGCGAGCGAGTCGCGAATGTGAAGGCGCGGTGCGGGGGGTAGTGGGTGTCCGGCTTGCGCCCCAACGCGTTTTCGCCAGTTTTGGGTCTCTTGGGTCCCAAATGTCAAAAGTTTAGCAGCAAAGTTTTGCTCTTTTTTGACTATGATGTTTAGATCTATTTTGCCAAAAGATGGACTAAGGGGGTGTTTAGTTGGTGAGGTGAAAATTTTTTGGTGTCACATCGGATATGTCGGAAGGATGTCGGGAGGGGTTTTTGGATACTAATAAAAAAACAAATTACATAACCCATCAGGAAACTGCGAGACGAATCTAATGATACTAATTAATCGATCATTAGCACATGTGGGTATTGTAGCACTTAAGGCTTTTCATGGACTAATTAGGCTTAAAAGATTCGTCTCGCGATTTTCAACCAAACTGTGCAATTAGTTTTTTTTTTCGTCTACATTTAATGCTCCATGCATGTGCCGCAAGATTCGATGTGACATTTTGGGTTGAAAATTTTTGGAAACTAAACAGGGTCTAAGACACCAAAAGTTTTGGCAAAAGAGGGGAAATAAACAGGCCCTTATAGCCATTACATATCACTTAGTATTTGAAATTTCCAAACTTGTCCATGCTGTAATCAATTTATATACTTCAGTTAGCTAGATTTGTTCTTCTCTACTTATGCCTAAACTTTTAAAAGTTTTGGTTAAGTCATTTTTTTAATATTCCGATGATTCAACCTAATTACTTACATGATGGCCATACAAGAGTTCCACCTGTAGCCGGGTAACTGTTTTTGGAGCCCTGATTTCTACCACTGCAGGAATATTCCCCCCTCTCTGTTAGATAATCTTGAAAACAGATTTTTACTGAATTTACCCTTCCCCCTCTATGAATATTTTAGTGTTCCTTTGTAATGTATACATTGTCAATGGAATATAGCCCCTTCTTGTTTTCTGATCAACTGAATTTTGGTTTCTTCCTCAGGAATGAGATTTAGCAATCTGTATAGTGATCCTCTAATTATCCCTGGAGGTCACAAGATCACAGCAAGGCAACGATGGCAACCAACACCAATGCAGCTGCAGATCTTGGAGAACATCTTTGACCAAGGCAATGGAACACCAAGCAAGCAGAAGATAAAGGAGATAACAGCAGAACTCTCGCACCATGGCCAAATCTCGGAGACAAATGTGTACAACTGGTTTCAGAACAGACGGGCACGGTCAAAGCGGAAGCAGGCTGCTTCTTTACCAAATAACGCTGAATCTGAAGCTGAGGTGGATGAGGAGTCTCTCACCGACAAGAAGCCGAAGTCAGATAGGTCGCTCCAGGATAACAAGGCTATGAGCGCTCACAGTGCTGACAGGATCTCTGGGATGCATCACTTCGACACAGATCATGACCAAATCGGTGGCATGATGTATGGATGCAATGACAACGGCTTGAGATCGTCTGGCAGTTCGGGCCAGATGTCCTTCTACGAGAACATCATGTCGAATCCAAGTATCTTCTCTACAACCAGCGTTGTTACTTCATTTCATTAGGCAACCTAAAATTATGAAAAAGAGTGTTACTAAAAGTTTGGCATCGGTTGGTTTGTGCAGGAATCGATCACTTCCCAGGGAAGGTGGAGAGCTCCCGGAGCTTCTCCCATCTCCAACACGGGGAAGGCTTTGACATGTTTGGATGACATGCTGCCGCCGCTGAGTTACCCTGTAAAAAGTGAAGGTTGACACAGCGTGCGTTCAATTTGCTGACATGAAAGTTTCTCTTGGATGCCACCGTGTTGCTTCTCACGGTCTGGTTAACCACCTACGCGGATGGTAGCTAGCTTGAACGAACCTACTCTTTGGAATAGCTGTAAGAGGTTGATATATAGTAGTATTTGCCCGTAGTCTATATACGCTAAATTATCAGCATGTAATTCTCCACGTTTGCAAATTTAGCACGAGACCAGTCCTATGCAGCAGCAGCAGCTTGCTTAAACCATCGTGTGTGTGAAACTATTTCTTGCCTGCTTTTACTCTATTGCATACAGACATATGGACAGCGATGCCTCCTAGCAAGTGTTGACATCCAACTGTCCTGTCTGCCCAACTGCTTGTTTGCTCAGTTTTCCGCGCATTCACATCATCGGCGATCTGTCGTCCGTATCCGCTGCGTCCTGGAGATCATCGACAACACGCCGTTCTTTCTGTCGTTTTTCCAACGCAGGCGCGGAAAGTTGCCCCTGCCTGCCTCGGTGACTACCGCTTGACTCATCGTCCTCCACACACCAAACAGCCAAAACGGCGCGCCGGCGTCCCGATTCACATAATCACATGACCCAGCTGCCTCTCCCATGTGCCCCCTTCTGGTTAGTTCGCCAGCCGGCAGTCGCCACCCCCAACCAACGAGATCAACACGGGAGTTGCAGTATCCCAAAAAAAAAAACACGGGAGTTGCCATCCGCGTCAGTGTTTCTGATGAATTGCGTCAGTAATTCAGTATGTACCCCTCATCTGTATCCTTTACCAATGCCACTATTAGTCTATTACATCACACCCTGATCCCAGCAGGCTCCAGCACAGTTCACAACAAACTCATGTACAGAACAACTCCTCACCTGCAGGTCCACCGCACCACCCCACCATTACTCCTATCACTACTTACAATTACAAAGCTAAGTTCAGTACAGATCACTGTCGCTCGGCAGGTGTCTACAAAACCATCTCCGGCGCCAGCAACGGCCAGCAACGCTACCGAGGAGCCACCATCCCGGAGGGGATGCCACTGTCCGCCTGACCACTGCCGGAAATATGCGACGACACATAGAGGGCCCCGGTGGTGGTGTTCGAGGACGATGACATGGACTTCGTCAGCAAGCCCGATCCCGAGGTCGAGGACAGCACGTCCTCTCCCTCGGGCAGCATGCTCCGGATGGTCTCGAGCTCTCTGACAATGTCGGCCATGTAGGGCCTCGCTTCGGTCTCGTCCCGGCAGCACCTTATTGCGAGGGAGAGGAACCTCTTCACGCATTCCGGAGGGTATGAGGACATCCGGCTGTCAATGATCCCGGAAACGTCACCTGACTGGTAAGCTATGTTTACCTGCAGCAATAGAAAATCGTTCGAGTTTTAATTCATCTGTCTGAATCCAATTCATTCAATAAAGGTGCTCCATATAACTAATGCAAAGAGATGCAGTTAGTTTCTTCGACATAAGCAAATCCATATTGACGTATCTCTATTTGCTATTTTGGTGACCACTTTTAAATAACTAGACATTGTACAATGCGTCGCAACGGACCTCTAATAAACCCTTATAAACAATATTAAATTCCTATTAATTATATTCACAAGTATTTGTTTTTTATTATGAACAAGATCCAATAGGTCATTAAGCCACCAACAATTTCTTGCTGACACTTTTATGATAAAAAGTTAATAGAAAGTGGTATATTGTAGGTTAGTATGTCGAACTATAGGGGTAACATGCTAATGGTAGTGTGGAGTAGTGAAGCCACCACCACCACCTTGTTTCTTTAAGGAGTATAGAGATAGATGTTCCAAACCTATGTAGTTTATGCTAGTGAACATAAAGGATGTATTCACGGATTTTGGATGAGATAAGAGGGATCAGTTGGTTTCCTGAGTGTCAATGCTGCAGCCATGCATACTCTCAATGCTTCCCAATATATTTTATCTATAAACGAGTAACCAAATAAATAAGAGATGGAGTGCGAACTTTTTACCTCTCTAACAATGTTTTTACCATGCTGGATTGGCTTCATTCCAGTCAATAGTTCAAGAAAAACAACACCTAAGCTATACACGTCACTTCTTTCCGTCAGTTTATGAGTCAGGAAATATTCTGGATCGAGATAGCCCTGTCGAAGGAAAAAGGAAAATATTATGATCACCTAAATTTCCACACCATATCAGTGGGCTCAAATATTCCCTGTTATATGACAAGAAGCAGTAAATGAAATCATGGTGAGTGTGGTGTTGCTGCTTTGCTAGGTGTGACGTCACTTACTGGGGTGCCCTTAACAACGGTGGAGATATGAGCTGGCAAAGTCCCTTCAATATCAGGCACTGGAGCAAGCCTCGAAAGACCAAAGTCAGCCACCTTTGCTACAAACTTGGAATCTAGAAGAATATTGCTGGCCTTAACGTCACGGTGAAATATAGGAGGATTTGCCTCGGTATGTAGATATAGAATTCCTTTTGCAGCACCAAGCGCAATATTGACCCTCTGACCAAAGCTCAGAGGTCTTTCAATCTTAGCTGTGAAAATGTCAAGTTTGATTATATATGTGCTTCTTCAGATTCAAGCTCAAAAAAATGCACATTAAATAAGTCAATGATAAGCTAAAGCTAAACCAAAAGCTTCATATGCAAACATGCAATAGTGATAATGCATGCCAGATATAAATTTCATTGGATAGATGTGATCATGGTGTTGTCTTTAATGTGAAAGCACACGATAGTCATATGGATGCAGAAGCTGAGCTAGGCTGTGGATGTATTCCTGGCAACCCAGGTTTACATTCCTCCTAAGTTGGTCCAGTTTTATATTATTATTATGATGGTAATATGGAAAACAAAAGCAAATATTTGAACATGTCACTTCCCGCTTACCAGAAAGATGATCACGTAGGGTACCATTGGGCATGAACTCATACACCAGCATCTGCAGAACACTATTCTCTATGAGGGGAGTACTGCACACTCAATAAAAAGACTGCAGAATCACTAGTTCTAAGCACATTTACCAATACTTTAATTCTTTCACAATGTGTAGAGAGTTGTGGGAAAGTTTTCAACAATATACTTGTCCATTAATAATTAAAAGATTGTAAGACACACCTGCTCGTCTTCTTCATCACAATAGCCAACAAGAGAAACCAAATTACGATGATGTAATCTTGACAACAATTCTATTTCTGTGCAGAACTCCTTTGAACCTTGCAGAGAATCTTCATGTGCACGTTTGATTGCCACAGCTGTTCCATCAGCTAAATTTCCTCTGTAAACTTTTCCATAACCTCCTTGACCAACTTGAGCTGAAATATCAAAATCCCTTGTTGCCGCAGCCATTTCGTCAAATGTGAAGCATTTCACGCCATCAACCTTGACAGAAAACCTTGAAAGTACTGCCAAATAATATGCATCTTTAGAACATGTGATCATTTTGGAAGAATAGATCTTGCTGTTTGAGCGAACCTAACGTCTACACCATATAAGGCTAAATTTTACGTAATACAGCGATTAAGAAAATAAATAATTTTACTGTTCATAAATCCTAATACAATGCTTTTAAATGTGGTCACGAAAGCAAGAGTTACAACTTAGTTCCAAATTTCCAGATTTAGATATGCAAAAAAGTATCTTTTTACTAAATTATGTTCGTATAAAAATCCCTAAATAGATTTCCTTTTCATCTTAAAACAGCAAGGCATTTTAAGTTGTTAGATAGCAACATTCAATCTATGCAGCACGCGGGAAGCTATATACATTTTTGTAAGGACAAAAAGGGAAAATGACTTACATGACCGTCTTGAAATTGTCCGTTGTTTTCTGCGCCTTTTCATTATAAAAATTGTAGAAAACACAGATACTGCAATGGCAGCAACAATTGTCCCTACCAAAATCCCAGCAAGTGCACCACCTTTTAAACCTGATGACACCGTAGTAGGAAGTTCTGCAAAAAGGTAATAGCCAGTAAACCAGAGGTATATCAAATTGGTCGTTGCATTCTGTGCAAGTACAACAGTATGGAACATGTACTACTTTTGTCTAGGCAAAAGAAAAAGAGATACACTGACGGTTTCTACTAATAGTTCGGTATGATAGAACTACCAATAAAATGCCTTGCTGCAAAGTAAGTTTCACATACCATCTGCATAGGGACCAAGTGTGAAATTGAGAAGCTCATATGGACCAAACTCATCTTTTAGAGTGATCTGCCATCCAGCAAGTACTTCCCTGAGCCGCAGCACCTCAGCCATATTGAATAAATTCGTATTATTTGGAAATAACTTTAAATGCGTATTCAGCCTTGGTCCAGGCTCCCTTATATACCGTTCAATGTACAGCTGATAAACACGCAATTCCAGCAGAGAGGTTAAGTCGTTCTCAAAGGCTTCTTTATAGGGTAGGAAGTCTGATATTGCTGGACTCTTTAGTCGAAATCCAACTCCCAGAGGCACAGCACATAAGCAAGGTATAGGGGATGCTGGATTGTATTCATGATCTGTTGGGCAAGGAGTACACGTCGTACTAACTTGCCTTCCCTCTCCAGATGGTGCTTCATCAGTTACAGAAGTAGGTTGGCAAAGATTAGCTGCTCGTGCTGCATTAGATGTCGTACATACAGGGTTTCCATAAAGTCTGCAGAAAATGATAATATTTATTCACTGTGTCAGAAACTCAGAAGATTCGGTTGGAAAGTTGAGCTTTCTTTTATCAGTATTATTCTATGATCTGCACAACCGCAATATCTGTCATACAGATCTAAATCATTAGTGACTGAATGACAGGTAAAGCTACTGATTAGCAAATTCATCAGAACTTTGCCATTGAAATTTCATATCCCCAACAAACTATATAGATGAGCATATTACATGAGTGTTCCTTCTCTATCAATGAAATGAGCACTGCCTCATGCTTGCTCATTCAAAAAAAAGCATAAGTGTAGACTAAAGAGGAAATATCTCCATGGTAAAGAAACTTACAGAACCGTGACAGCTTCTGGAGGCTCAAATGCATATGGAATAGCGTCAAAGGAGTTATTTTGGAAGTCTCTGCGTTATTTGAATACTACATTACATAAAAGTACATATCAAACCGAATTATGAGAGAACATATGTGAATGTTGTCATACAGAACAAGGGTTCTATTTCCCGTAAAAGTAATGTTACTCCAAATTGTCGGTGGAACAGAACCGTTTATGAGGTTCCCATTGACTGACCTGTAAAATGGCATTTTGAGATAACACAACATAAGTAGAAGAAAAGTTTTGGCTAGCACATTGTTACTTGAACTTGAAAGGTATGTTCATTATTATTAGTTTGACATGGAATTTTTTTTTTTCAATAGCAGGATGTTAGTGGTACATAAAATTTTCGATAAATTAAATAGTACTTACAAGAACTGAAGATCAGGTAGCCCTGAGAAGGTTGATGGAATAGTTCCTTGAAGAAAGTTATGTGATAAATCACTGCCAAAACATAGAAATTAGCTGTGTTCTAACAAAACTCTAGCAAGATGTCAAAAGCTACATACATTGTAGTGATATTTGAAGCAAGCCTATTAGTCGGTATAGATCCGTTCAACTGGTTCCAGCTAAGATCCCTGAAAGTATATACTGGAATTAGTACTAAAATATTTGAGAACTAATATCCTGATGCGAACTGAGTGGCAGATTTCTCACTCTAATATGAAGATAACACACTAAAGGCATTTAAGAAATAATATTGACAAAATATCTGTTCCAGAAAGGCTGTGACGTGCTGATGTAAAAGGATAATATATGATTGTAAGATGTCCAAAAACTGATAAAGGAAACACTGCATTTTAGTCTGGACTTACAAGTAGCCAAATTTAGGTATGGCACTCAAATCTGGAACAGCTCCTTGCAAACTGCAGTTCCTTAGACTCCTGGTAACATGTTAAAGGATGATTTACTCAACAGATCTTTATTTGACTTTAAACATAATGTTGATTGAGTGGTGCTTGTCCTTAAATGAGTATAATGAAGTAAATTGCTGGTTTAGTTATCAGTGAGAATGATCTCCAAAGAATGAAAGAAGACTACCTATAGAAACTTGAAATGTAAAGATTTCCAGATAAATGGACCAGTTGCATCCAACTATTTGGCTGCTATAGGTTGTAATAGGAGAGGAGTCAATGTGAAAACGAGCCTTTAGTTGCACACAGAGCAAATTCTTTCTTACCTATGTGATGCCCTGAACTTTGATATACTAACCATCTCAACTAGAACTCTAGAAGCATAAGCCCTTTGGCAAATACAAAAGTTTTTACTCAAAATATTCTTCTTTTCACCTTAGTTTTTTTTTTTAAGAAATGGCAGGAGCTCTGCCTTTCAATTAAGATAGGAAAAAGAGGTGTTTATATACAAGCAGCAAGTTCACGCCCTCTAGGGGCCAAAACCAGTAATTTAACCTTAGGTTTTTACTGGATGCCTACATTTCTAATGGCTGTTCTCAATAACAGAAGTTGTAATAGCTCTTTAAATTTTCTTTCTCCCTCATCTACCTCAAATTCTAAAAAAGAGAAAACATGATGGAAAAGGTTGTTACACTCACAGCTTTAGAAGTGTTCGTATGTTGCTGTATTCAGCAGGGATGGAGTTTCCACTGAAGTTGTTATTATCAGCCTGACTAGAAGTACACAGATATGAGAAATGTTTGTCATAGATAACAAAGATGTCTAATCTATACAGAATAAACAAAAAATTCAAAGGCAAAGGCCTGCGCCATTATATCCTTATCATGCCATTAAATTTACAAAAGAAAGTGAAGCATACTCATGAAATTGATAGGGTTACTTAAACTTCTTAAACATCTAGAACTGAAGGAGAGTTATTCGCCAAGAAACCTCAAGATACCATGAACCAGTACAAATTCTCTTAACACTGTGCTGCAGAAAAATGTACTTACAGTATTTCCAAACTACGTGTATCTGCTAATTCTGGTGGAAGAGGCCCAGATAAATTATTGTTATCAACAAGGCTGCAAGTTCACAGCACAAGGCATGTTAACTGTACAACTCATCTGCAACTTGCAAAACGGAAAATATCAAACAAAAGTTGAGGTCTACTTACAGATGAAGGAGTGCAGGCAAGCTGGACAACTCAGATGGGATTTGCCCACTTAATGAGTTATTATTCATGTGACTAAAGGTAAAAATGGAACCAGAATCATTACTAAGCTTACAAATGAGAAGCATCAGGGATGGGCAGAAAAATAAAGATACTTGACACTTACAGATGTTTAATGCTTGTTAAGTTAGCAAATGATTTAGGTATGGGGCCTGATATGTTGTTCTCGTCTATTTGTAATCTGTTTAAGTTCTTCAGATAACCGATCTCCTCAGGCAAAGAACCAGATAACTGGTTACCATTCAAAGTTCTGCAAGATTGTGGAAGTGACAGTTAGCATTGTTTGTAAAGAAATGGTACATGAAATTTTGGTTAGAGAGGAGGTATTTACATGAGCTTCAGTGTTGTGATATTTCCAACTTCTTTTGGGATGTTACCAGTTAAATTGTTCCACATGAAGTCCCTTGAAAAATAACAATTTATACAAGTTAGTAAAATATGCTAAATGCAACAGGTATTCCTAGAAAAAAAGAGAGAGAAAGAAACAGCTGCAAGAACAACGTGGACACGAGTTCTAACCAGGAAAAGAAACAGTTAAAATAGATGAAATCAAAACTTCTTTTTTGTGGTATCTTTTCAAGTTCCTTATTAATCTTAGGGATTTGCTCTATAGTTAATTAACCATGTAAAGCATAAAGTAAAGCCGTGAGGTATACTGTTTATGAAATGCTCGAGAATTCTCAATTCATTTTGCACAAGTATTATCAATGGCCTGTCAAATTAGTACTTACAATTGTTTCAACTGGGATAGGAGACCAATCTCTGGTGCCAAAGTTCCAGAAAGATTCATCTTAAACAACTGTCTACAGGGATCAAAGGCATACACTGTTACTATTAAATGTTACACTTGTATGGAAAATGGCAGAAATAAATAATAAACAGATAATAGGATGTAAGAACAGCAGTCTAGCAAGAAAACAATTGTGAATGTAATAAATAATGTGGAAGAGGTCATCATACATCTCTGTTACATGAAGATATGAATCGCTTGGTATCTTGTTACAGATGATTCCTGTCCAATTGGATGTGCATGGATCCCCACTGCCCCAATTCTTAAGCTTATTAGAAGGATCAACCAGACTGCCTTTGATTGCCTTGAGAGCGTTCACTGCAAATATAAGAGAGACAATATTCAGCAGCAATTTAAAAGATCAACGGAGTATCTGAGTCGTGCAGAATGGAAATGCATACACATTTCAATAGATGTCAACAAGAACCAGTCTCTAGTCATACTGCCTACTTCTTCTTTTTTGCGAGATACCTATGCCTACTTGAACATGATATGTATTAGAGGCCACATTTCTCATCACGTACTGTCTGTTAAGTGCTTTGATTAGTCACAAGTATTGCTGATTACAGGTTCAACAATAATGGTATACAACACTTGATTACATACACATCATGGAACTGGACTGTGGTCTGTGAAGAGCTAACCAAAAGGATCAGAAGCAAAAATGGGCTGTTCAAAACTTCCTGTGCGCTCAAATTATGCAATCAGAAACAATGACTGAATCCACACAAAACAAGGCCTCCTTGAATCAAAGCTTCATGGCAATTTCCAGTTAGATGGTAAAGCACCTATCATTTCTTCCTGGCAGGAGCAATTTCCAATTGTCTAGCTCAAAGCTCTGACTGAAGAAGGCAAAGACAACAGGAGATTACCTTCAGTAGGGTCAGTTTTCTGTCCCCTCGTGACATCCACATAGCCAGTGCACAAAACAAGCAGGATCACTGCATACAGCATGCCTCCGAGGTTGGTCATGTCTGAACTCTGAACTGGAGATCTATTGGCAGCAACCTGTCAAGTTGTCATCCCTGCAAGAGCATAGTTGCTAACAATCTGAGATCATCCTAACCATCGAAACAAAAAAAAAAATGTCTAGTAGCAATTTCAAATGACTGGCGAACCCAAAATGGGGGCATCTGTTCATTCCTCACAGGCTGACAGGGCTGTCTTATTATGCCTAATAAGGTGTGAAAGCATCCAGCTGCTCCAGATTCTCAAATCTCAACAGCCTTTCTGACCTAACACCGCGCTGCTGTTCATACCAACAGCCCCTTGAGAAAATATTGCCCGGAGCGAATAAGACCAACTACTAACTTTTGTTGACTAGAGAAAAGTAAAACAAGATTGCATGTTGCGTAAACTCCACAGCAGGTGGTAAAAAGGACATTAATGCTGACGGTAACCCTGTGTGTAGTTTGAACTGTAACATATCTCCCATTTTTTTTTCCAACTGAACTACAGGATTCTACTCGTACTGTGTGTAGTTTGAACTGTAACATATCTCCCATTTTTTTTCCCTCTCTCTCAAAAAAAAAAAAACAGAGCTATGATGGTACATATCGGAAAGGAACAGAAGCGAAAATGATCATGTAACCAAGTAAAACGTAAACAGGCCGAAGCGAAATCGTAAGAAAAACCAAGGTAAGTGAACTCACCACCAGAAGGGGCGGCCAAGGGCAACAACAAAATCCAAGGAACCGTGCGGCCTTGGAGTGGAGCTACGGCCGAGCACCCTGCTCCCTGGACGAATCCACCAGCACCTCTCGATCGAGCTCCAGCAGCAGGCACCTCCCGATCGAGCTCCAGCAGGAGGCGCAGGCGCGCAGCAATCAATCAGCGGAGTAGGACGAGCGGCTTGTACGGCAGGAGAGAAGCACCGGATAGCAAACGGCGGACGCCCTCGCTTCCTCCCTTCCCTTCCGCCGGAAGTCCGGAACCAACAAATAGCACCGGGTAGTCCTGTACTGAAAAAAAAACTTCTGCAAAGCCCCAACAGAAGGCCGCTGCTGCGATCCCCGTCCCGTTTTCAACTGTGCAAGCGGCTCCTCCTCTTCCGCGCTGGTTCCTTTCCTTCCGCGCGGCGCCCGTGGCGGTGACTGGTGAGCTGAGGCGAGTGGGTGGTTGGGTTGGCAGTCGCAGCTCGGAACAGGGGTGCTCCTTTGTTAATGGCGGCGCGCTTGCTTTTTATATCGCGCACGTCGCCGCGCCGTGCGCCCACAAATCGTCCTGTCCCCGGAGCCGGGCCTACCTGCCTCTGTCCGGCTCCGCTCTACAGGTGGGATGGGAACGAACAAACGGTCCACTACAGGAGGTAGAAAGAGAGAAACGCGTGCGCTGGCCGTAGTTTCAGGTCAGTCAACCGCGGGCGACCGCGTCCCGGTACGGTAGAAATACCGTACAACTGTACAAGCTGGTCGCGTATTTTTATCTCGCCACGCTTGCAGTGACGCCCCGGCCGATAGCTCCTGCTCCTTTGACCTTTGTTCGCGTTCGGAGGATCCGGCCCGAAAGCGTCCGAGTCGACGTTAATGATCCCGCAGAAAAAAGCGGAGGGTGGCTTTGGTTGCTTCTCCTGCGAGCTGCGACGAGTTGGATGGATGGATGGGGAATGGGGATGGTTGCTGCTGGTTGGTGGTGGTTTCTGGTGGCGATTTGGATTATTTTCTGCTGTCCTGTCCTGTCCCTGGGTTCGACGGTTCGACCTCCATCTCCACCGTCCATCGACACGGGGGTTGGCTAATGGCAGTTGGCACTTGGCAGTTTGGAATAGATAGTACGGGTGCGTGGCCAATGCAACAGTGTTCATCTCATCTGATGTAGCTGCTGCTGCCCAAGTGACTCAAGTGGTACGCGGAGAGGACTTGTGATGCTCCCTGCTACCAGTTTTTGTACAGTTTCTTGAGGAATCAAGTCAAAAAAGTACTATGGGGGTGTTTGGAAGGGTACTTTTAGAGACCGCTTTTAAAATTTATGATCCACAGCAAATGTTTCGAGGTCGTAATGTAAACATTAAATATAAATTAATTATAAAACTAATTACATAGATGGAGGCTAATTTCGGAGATGAATTTTTTAAGCCTAATTAATCTATCATTAGCACATATTTACTCAGAAGTAGCACACGTTGTTCAAATCATGGAAATTAGGGTTTAAAAGATTAATGCTCACACGGTCAATTAGGTCGCCTCAATAATTTTGATCCCTCGTGCATTAGTTTCAAAGGGCCCGAATTAATCTATATTTAATATGACATGCGAAATATCCAAATATTTAGTACTACTAATAAGAGAAAACTTTTATATAGGAGTTCAATAAAACAAACATTACATATATGTGGTACAGCTCGTTTTCAATGTGTTTCTATAATGGTCTGATGGGTGTCTTGATGGAATGGGGTACTTACTCTAGTGTTCAATATTCTAGATTTTCTCTGGCATTGCGTCCGAGTCGCTCCATGCGTGCTCCAATGGATCCAAGGGTCGCCTTTTCTTAGAGGAAAAACAGGATACCAGTTTTGTCGTCGAAGACCAGCAACAGTATATGTAGGACAATCATGGTCTGCATAAATTAATTGTATTCTACTCCTATACGACAAGAGGATATACCGTATCATACACCAAGCAAATGCGCATTATCCTTCAACTAGTCCATTATCCTTACTCTAGTTAGCAACAGTAAGACGGTAAGCCTATAGCAAAGAATGAAAGGAAATCTCTGCTTTGAATAGTACTACCATTGTATACAACAGCGTCCACTGTTGAATTTACTTATGAGAGGAGTCAAATACCGAAATACTCCCTCCGTTTTAGATGATAAGACATTTTGGTTTTTATAGATACATTGTTTTTATTATACATTTAGACATAGGAAATATTTAAGTATATAGCAAAAACTATTTATTTAGAAAAATCAAAACTTTATATAATTTGAAATGGAGGGGGCACGTAGTAAGTAGTCTCAACCCAATCATATCTTACCGGACTTCCTGTTTTACCTGCAAACTGCCTGACCGTTTTAGCTTGGCAAGTTGTGTCAATACTACAGGCATTGGCATTGCTGAGTTATGGCAACCCAATCGCACTGTGCTTATCTAGTTGTGGCAATACTATAGGCATTCCAATCGCACTGTGCTTGTCAATTTGAAGGCTCATTCAACCGGCAAATTTTGGTTGAAACCTACTTTTTTACACCGTTTTGCTGAATTGTTGTGATCTAAAATTTATTCAAAAAAAGATTTCAATTAGAATTTAGAAAAAAAGAGATCCCTAGAAGCCAAAATCTGCATTGGCATCGCTGAGTTCGGAATAGGTTCTTGTTTACACTTTTTGATGTACCATCAAGAAAGCAACTACCGTCATCATCCAGCGTCACTCACCTCCTTGAAGCGGTACCCAAGCAACCCTAATCCAGAAACGGGTTCCCGTACACATGCGATTTTGACAGTCAAGTGCAACCTTACGGTACACAAGCACTGGCGGCGTTAAGGGTATGCCTGGGTATTCCTTGGAATACCCAAGATTTTGGTAAAAAAATAAATACATGTATACTTATATTTATATATATATATATATATATATATATATATATATATATATATTCTATTTTCTAATGGACCGAAAGCCCACAAACAACGTAGCAGCAGCGAAGCAGGTCAATTTGGCCAAAGCCTAGCGCCGGAATCCTCCCGTAGTCCCGTCGGCATCCCGCTCACAAGTTGCGACTCAATAGTCCCGTTCTTCGCAACAACTCTCGTCGCCGTCAATGCGCAAGGAAGTCTTGAATTCTCGATCTGCATGAATCGGAAGCTGCGCGCTTCGCGAATAGGAAGGGTCCACACATCTCGATGTGCGATCCTCTGCATCCAAAGAAATGGACTCGTAAAGCTCAGATACCGGTGTATGAGGCGGTGACCTCATGGGCCCCGAGCCGCAGCAAGACAATACACCCGCAATTGCAGACGGGTGGCACGGTCAACACTCTCGATCGATCGATCCTTCCGCCCCACCTGGCGATATAGTGAGGCGGTGAGGCAATGACAAGCAAGCAGCAGCAAGCAGCGGCGCATTGTCGAGACGTCGATTCGTCACCACAATTGCAAAGGAGCACTAGGTAAAGAGATCATTTTCTCCTCTAATTTATTTGTTCTTGCTAGTGCTATCTTGAGTGCTACTTTGTTTAGTAATTTTCTAACATTCAGTTTCTTGTAAATTGTAGTCAAGAAAAGAAGAAGGGTAGTAGCAGCATATTTGTTCAAGGATAAAACAAAATGCTCTGATGGAGATACATTTGTGAAGGATGGGTGCTTACTGGCACCTGTTCAAGATTGAAAAAACACATGGCATTGCGTCCGAGTGTTCATGCGTGAAGCTCAAGAGAAATATGATAGGTTCACTTTTCACCAACAACATCAATTCGTTTTGTCTATTGCTTCAAACACCACACAAATACAAAGCTTTATATAAGCTTATTCTTTGACATGGACACTCAAGTGTTTAAGGTTTCTATTGCGCCAAGGCTTGGCATTTAGAGGGCATGGAGGGTCCTTATTATCCTGTTGGGAGACCTAAAAGAGGGTTCTATAATGGTGCAATGAACTATCATCGCTTCCATGTTGACATGTTTGTGAGCAAAGATTGATAGGCAACTTCTGCTTTGAATAGTACTAATGATGATTTGATGAGGTAAACACAGTTGAATTTTCTTGCATGGCAGCATTTAGCCCACTTGATTCATTTGCTTTTAGATAATCTAAGCCAAGTTGGTTACACTTGCTACAAAGTTTTATCCTAAGGATTTCATAGGAAATATTTAGGAATTAGGGAAACTTCCATGGCAGAAATATCAACATTTCTATGTTTGAAATGATGAAAGGTTTAAAATTTTGAAGAACCTATGTGAGATTTCTTAAGGACTTGTGGACACACAAAAAGATGAACAATATTATGTTGTTTACAAGCTTCTTAAGTTGGTGCTAA